AATAGTTATAGAAACTATTATTATTTTATTATTATTACAATATGACTGTTGCATGTCAGGGTGAGATGCTGGAGCTGCTGCGTCCGTGTTTTGGGGGTCTTGGAGCGGCCCAAAAGAGGTGCTTTTCGCGCTCTGTCTCCTTGCAGTGTGATATAGTCTGTTTGCTCATGACAGGGTGAGATGCTGCGGCTGCTGCGTCCGTGTTTTGGGGGTCTTGGAGCGGCCCAAAAGAGGTGCTTTTCGCGCTCTGTCTCCTTGCAGTGTGATATAACCTGTTTGCTCATGACATGGAGAGATGCTGGAGCTGCTGCGTCCGTGTTTTGGGGGTCTTGGAGCGGCCCAAAAGAGGTGCTTTTCGCGCTCTGTCTCCTTGCAGTGTGATATAACCTGTTTGCTCATGACATGGAGAGATGCTGGGGCTGCTGCGTCCGTGTTTTGGGGGTCTTGGAGCGGCCCAAAAGAGGTGCTTTTTGTGCTCTGTCTCCTTGCAGTGTGATATAGTCTGTTTGCTCATGACAGGGTGAGATGCTGGAGCTGCTGCGTCCGTGTTTTGGGGGTCTTGGAGCGGCCCAAAAGAGGTGCTTTTCGCGCTCTGTCTCCTTGCAGTGTGATATAGTCTGTTTGCTCATGACAGGGTGAGATGCTGCGGCTGCTGCGTCCGTGTTTTGGGGGTCTTGGAGCGGCCCAAAAGAGGTGCTTTTCGCGCTCTGTCTCCTTGCAGTGTGATATAACCTGTTTGCTCATGACATGGAGAGATGCTGGAGCTGCTGCGTCCGTGTTTTGGGGGTCTTGGAGCGGCCCAAAAGAGGTGCTTTTCGCGCTCTGTCTCCTTGCAGTGTGATATAACCTGTTTGCTCATGACATGGAGAGATGCTGGGGCTGCTGCGTCCGTGTTTTGGGGGTCTTGGAGCGGCCCAAAAGAGGTGCTTTTTGTGCTCTGTCTCCTTGCAGTGTGATATAGTCTGTTTGCTCATGACAGGGTGAGATGCTGGAGCTGCTGCGTCCGTGTTTTGGGGGTCTTGGAGCGGCCCAAAAGAGGTGCTTTTCGCGCTCTGTCTCCTTGCAGTGTGATATAACCTGTTTGCTCATGACATGGAGAGATGCTGGGGCTGCTGCGTCCGTGTTTTGGGGGTCTTGGAGCGGCCCAAAAGAGGTGCTTTTCGCGCTCTGTCTCCTTGCAGTGTGATATAGTCTGTTTGCTCATGACAGGGAGAGATGCTGGGGCTGCTGCGTCCGTCTTTTGGGGTCTTATATTTATATCATCTGTGACTCCTCCTCTAAAATGGTGGCTAACCACATGTTGTTAAAGTCAAACCAAAAGTGTAATAGCATAGTCATTATTTGTTAACTACTAATCAATAACCCAAGTGGAAATATGCTCCGTTTCGGATACTTCACACTTTCGCAAACATTTACACACGATAGGTGTCTGAAAGTATATCCATTCGCTTCGTCTTGGTCTGTAGATGTGATTTGATGTGTCGTTTGTACATTTTGATGGCGGAAATATTGGGTTAGGGTTATATTGGGGTTCAGCACCACGGAGAGCGCCTCCCCTGAGATGTGGGATCTACAAGTGGGCTTCCATATTAGGATGTGGCAGGGGTTCAGCACGACGGAGAGCGCCTCCCCTGAGATGTGGGATCTACAAGTGGGCACCTACATCTACATCTACACACCACCCCCCCCCCATAAGTACAAGTACACAGCAAGTGAATACTTGTGTTACTGTGTAATATGCGGAAAGTGGGACCCATATTGGTTACAAGTACACAGCAAGTGAATACATGTGTTACTGTGTAATATTTGGTAAGTGGGACCCATATTGGTTACAAGTACACAGCAAGTGAATACATGTGTTACTGTGTAATATGCGTAAAGTGGGCACCCGTATTGGTTACAAGTACACAGCAAGTGAATACATGTGTTACTGTGTAATATTTGGTAAGTGGGACCCATATTGGTTACAAGTACACAGCAAGTGAATACATGTGTTACTGTGTAATATTTGGTAAGTGGGACCCATATTGGTTACAAGTACACAGCAAGTGAATAAATGTGTTAATGTATAATATGCGGAAAGTGGGCGCCCGTATCGGTTACAAGTACACAGCAAGTGAATACTTGTGTTACTGTGTAATATGCGGAAAGTGGGACCCATATTGGTTACAAGTACACAGCAAGTGAATACATGTGTTACTGTGTAATATTTGGTAAGTGGGACCCATATTGGTTACAAGTACACAGCAAGTGAATACATGTGTTAATGTATAATATGCGGAAAGTGGGACCCATATTGGTTACAAGTACACAGCAAGTGAATACATGTGTTACTGTGTAATATTTGGTAAGTGGGACCCATATTGGTTACAAGTACACAGCAAGTGAATACATGTGTTACTGTGTAATATTTGGTAAGTGGGACCCATATTGGTTACAAGTACACAGCAAGTGAATACATGTGTTAATGTATAATATGCGGAAAGTGGGCGCCCGTATTGGTTACAAGTACACAGTAAGTGAATACATGTGTTACTGTATAATATGCGGAAAGTGGGCGCCCGTATTCGTTACAAGTACACAGCAAGTGAATACATGTGTTACTGTGTAATATATGGTAAGTGGGCGCCATATTGGGTTGACGGACACCCCCCCCCCCCCAAGTATAAGTACACAGCAAGCGAATACATGTGTTACTGGGTAATATATGGTAAGTGGGCGCCATATTGGGTTGACGGACACCCCCCCCCCCAAGTATAAGTACACAGCAAGCGAATACATGTGTTACTGTGTAACATATGGTAATTGGGCGCCATATTGGGTTGACGGACACCCCCCCGAGTATAAGTACACAGCAAGCGAATACTAGCGTCGCTGCATAATACGCGGAAAGAGGGCTCCCGTACGGGCCCCGCGGACGCCCCCGCCACCTCCACCTGGTGGCCGGAGACGGGACGGCGTCCGGGAGCCCCCTAACGGGTTAAACCCCGCCGGTCGCCGGGGGGGGGTCGTCGCCGGGGCGGGCGGCGGCGACGGCCGGAGGCCCGGGGACCGTCCCGGGACCGCCCGGGGGTACGGCCATTTTACGAAGGTCGCGGGGGGGCGGAGCCGGGCCGGTTTGCGAATCGGCCGTCCGCCGGCAGCGCGGTATGCTGTCGGCGGGCTCCGGCCCTCTGAGCAGTAGCATTGGTTAGTCGTTTTGTCCGACTTGCTCTGGAGGCCCGCCCACATGAGACTTTGAAATTTCGCGGGACAAAGACGCCCGCAGCCTTGAGAGCGAGGCGAGGCGAGTTGGCGCAGTTGCTCTCCACGGGCTGCGGAAGCGAAATGCTTGATGGGAAACGGCTCGCTGGTATCTCGAGCTGAGCGCTCATTGGTGGTTGTCCACAATGTTTATCATCATGAAATTAATATCTATATATTTTATACTATACTGCTTACCGTTTTCATACTTTATATATCTTAGCATATTCATACACACTGTTCATACTGCTCACAGGCTGATATCTAGTGTATTCATACCCCACTGTTTATTCATCATTCAATTCATTCTATATGTTATTCTGTAGATTGTGTACATTACTTTCCACTTCACTGCTTGTTGCACCTGGTTAGAAGCTAAACTGCATTTCGTTGTCTCAGTACCTGTAATATGTGCAATAACAATAAAGTTTCTCTTTAAGTTAAACCAAATCATTAAAATAAAATCTATTGTAATGTAATGATTTGGTTTAACCTTATTTATTGAATACATCATTTAAAATGGCAAGATTAAATCAAATTACATCCATGTTGTACACATCATAAAGCTTAAAGTGGCAGCTAAAGAATTAACACAGCAGCAGGTCTGTTCAATTCATGCTCATTAAGCTTCATGTGTGCGGATCTGAAGGGACTGATCATTTGTAGCCTGTCCACCTATCAGTTTTGCAAACATTAAGAGGGAGGAGCATTTCTAATTATGGAACCCAGTCATGACTGAATTAACAAACCTATATAAAGCAATGGAGATCACCTTTGTCTACAGTGGGTAAAATGGAATTTGTGGTGCTTACACTGTGTGACGAACAGAGTTGGGTGTAACGCGCCACAAAGTAACGCGTTACTGTAATAATATTACTTTTGTCGGTAACGGAGTAGTGTAACGCGTTACTTTTATAATTTAGTAATCACACTACAGTTACTAACATTGCCCCGACACGCGTTACTTCGTTACTTTTATAAAATAATCACACTCACTGACAGACTAGAGGGGTTTCCGCCGCAGGTTTATATACATGTAGGCCTATGTAATCTGCGCGACTTGCGAGACCACATCTCCACGTGCAGTGCTGCATAAACATGGATGAGTCATCTGTAAACTCCCTCAACGGGGCCGCTCGCTCTCTTTTGTTGATCGCCCTCTCACGGGTGAACAGTTCAATGTCCCGCTTCATTGTAGGAATTTTGCCATGTCTCTACCACTTTAGTTTGACCATCTCTGTTACTAAGTTATGGAATACTAAATAAATAAGTAATTAGATACCTTACCGTTACTGCGCTCATAAAGAATGATAAGAATAATGCGTCTTGAACTGGTTTAATTCATTAGTGTCTTGACGTTTCACAGACTGTTAGCTTGTTGTGTGGCTGGTAGCCTATTTGAGAGCATATAAAAAGAAAGACTTGTGTTATGTCTTCCTTAATGCAATAGTAATTGGGGGTGCAAGTGGAGTCTCGCAGAGGCAAAACTGTGGCGCGCACACTGTAGGTGCGCCGCAGTCTGCGTGATCTGCCTGTAGGGAGGGGCGGGCCGGCCCTGCGAGTAAAGTAACGAGTAAAGTAACGAGTAAAGTAACGAGTAAAGTAACGAGTTACTTTATGTAGAGAGTAACGAAGTAGTGTAATATATTACTTTTTTTTAAAAGTAATATGTAATATGTAATATATTGCTTTTTTTTTAGTAACGACCCCATCTCTGGTGACGAACAGGGAGACATCACTGTAAGAGTCTCACAAGACATTTCCCAAAGACTACAAAATGGTGAGTAAACAACTCAATTGCATTCCAACAATCTGGATATGATTTTAAATGATGTAAATTATTTTTCAGATAACAGTTTAGCAGCTGCACTTATGCAGCAAGCAAGGGCTGCAACAAATGCACAAGGTAATCTATCATTTAAATCAAAAATGGTATTGTCTTTTAATGCAAATCAAACAAATGACATATTCATGTTTATTGTAAACAAATATTTAATTTTCTCTCAATCACAGTCCCTTTAGATCTGTCTTCAGATGCTAGGCCTGCTCCTGAAAGGCCTGCTCCTGATGAAAGACCTGCTCCTGACGAAAGGCCTGCTCCTGATGAAAGCAGGCCTTTGGGGGACCCTGATGTAAACAAGACGAAAGTCTTTCTCTGGTCTGCATCCCCTTAACAATTGTATGTTTTGAGCTGTACTGTACTGTACCCAATATACAAGCTGTTAATAAACTTTTCAATCAATCAATCAATCAATCAAAGACCTGCTCCTGACGGAAGGCCTGCTCCTGATGAAAGACCTGCTCCTGACGAAAGGCATGCTCCTGATGAAAGGCCTGCTCCTGTAAGGCCTGCTAGATCCCAAGCTGGCACTCCTCACCTGGCATCCCCCTCCAGCCGGTCAGAACACCTTGAGGCAACACAAGGTACAGTAACTAAAATGAGGATCTAAACAGCAAATGCTATTTGTTTGAGTTACTAACACTTGTGTCTTAACAGATTTCACACACAACACCATACTGCTGCTTTTGGACCTGACAAAAACACACCAACAGGTGTACTATCACTCCAAACCCGGTTTTTACAAAATTCTACAACGGCAGTTCAGCAAGGAGGGATACAGTTTCTCCTCAGACAAAATCCGGAAAAAACTCAACAACCTTTTGACCACCTACAAAAGGGCCAAGGACCGTTGTACCTCAACAGGAGAGGGGAACATAACGTGGGAATATTATGGGGTAAGAAGTTTGTTCTTGCACATCTAGTTGGTAAAAGCAACATTTCCATTTGAACAATTCTGCAATTCCACAGATAATGGACAACCTGTTTGGGAGGTGCGGTGTTGGGAGCGCACCTCCAGGCACTCTTGTTTCCACCCCTCTATTACCCACTGCCTCACAACCATCCACCACACTGCCGTGTGCCTCTGAGGCCCAGCCTGGTCCCTCCATGACCCTGCCCACGACACTGCCGTGTGCCTCTGAGGCCCAGCCTGGTCCCTCCATGACCCTGCCCACCACACTGCCGTGTGCCTCTGAGGGCCAGCCTGGTCCCTCCATGACCCTGCCCACCACTCAGCTGCGATCAATCCGGTCTCGAGTCTCCCATCCCTCCTTCTACGACCTGTATGAGGCCCACTCGGAGAGGAGGACCAGTGCACTGGAGACACTGGTGCGGCCAGAACAGGAGCGCCGGAGAAGGCTGAAGGAGAGAAATAGGAGGAGGTTTGAAGCTAAAATGTTGACTGCGATGGGAGAAGTTGTTTCCCAGTTAAAGTCCATTGGGAGCCAACAAGAGCGCATCATTGAGCTTTTGCAGGACAAGCCCAATATGCCATAATTTCCCCCGCACTGGGTATTCCCTGAATTAGTTTGTTTATAAAGAACACCACCTCAGTTTGTTTATGGAAGTAATATTGTTTAGATTAGTTATTTATTTTCCTCGTTATGCAGTTGAGTTATTATTTCATCCCTGGCAATTGCCTTGTAATATTTGTATTTGTATACACTAAGTGTTCACAATGTTTATATGCAATTATTATTTATTTGCCAAGTACATGTGTACATATGTATATATAGTTATTTCATTTTCAAAGAAGATAGTCAACTGCTATTGACATGTGCAGAAAATGACCATATCTAGTTTTCATATATATGCATATATTTTTTACTTGCCCAATCATTTTGGATGACATTACATGTTACTTGTTAGGCGCTTTAATCCAAAGCAACTTACATACTCAATACTGTGGGCATAAAAGGAAAGGAAATAAAAAACAAATGTCTTCCACAAAGAATATGACAGTGGTTATTTGTGGGGGGGGGGGGGGGGGGGGGGGGGGGGTGTGTGAGCTCTTTAAAAAAGGTCACAAATCTGATTTCTGTGCAACACTGCATCTTGGTTCTGGGGATGCGGTGCCCTGTTATCTGCTGCTTCAACCTGCTCATCAACTTCAATTGCTTCCCCTTCCTCCAAGCACATGTTGTGAAGTATGCAACAGGCAGTGACTGCTGTGCTAATGTTTGCAATGTTTTTCATGTACAAACATTTGAGCCTCCTGAACTTCGTTTTCAGTAGGCCAAAGGTATGCTCAATGACCACGCGTGCAACATTTAATTTTTGATTGAAACGACGCTGCCGAGCAGTTAAATGGCCATTGTCCCTGTATGGCCTCATAAGCTGAGGCAATAGTGGGTAGGCAGAGTCCCCAATGATGTGCATTCCCTCAGGCACCAGGGACTGGGGATCTTCATCAAGCAGCCTTCCAACAGCAGACAACCGGAATGCCCGTGCATCATGCCAGCTACCAGGGTGGCCCACATTAACATGACAGAATCTCCGTTTACTGTCACAGAACCCAGTAAGCACAACAGAATAAAACTGTTTTCTGTTGATGTATGCTACTGGGTTCTCACAGTGTGGTTTCACAATAGGAATGTGGCATCCATCTACCGCACAGACAGTGTTGGGAAATCCTGCTGCACGAAATCCTAACTCAGAATTATGTAGGGCTTGCCCTGTGGGCCAGGAAATGTGGTGAGACAAATATGTGGTGACAAGACTACAGAATTCATGGAGATGCAGGCAGACAGTGGATTTGGTGATATTGAAACGATCAGCAACCCCCCTATAGGACTCCTGGTTTGATAGAGTCCACAGACAGGCAAGAACACTGTTTTGAAGCGGCACTTTACTGTGCTGTCTGTTCCAGTAGAACGGGCCAATAGTCGTCATCACATCCTGTTTGGTAGAAAGGAATAAATGGCTTTTAATATCACCAGTCCAGATAATACATATTTGATGTTATTTATATATATATATATATATATATACACACACACATACTTCCACATGTCCCCTGGACAATCGGAAATGACTTTTGAAGTCTGAAGGACTGTACTGTGGGACCACTTCTTCCACAAATTGTTGGACCTTTGGAACGGATCTAAGGAAGGCAGACACAGGAGCAAATGATGACCATAAATCATTAGACCTATTCAACATTCTTTATATATATATAACTGCTGCTGCTGCTGTAGGCCTATATTATCTTCACTTGATTTCAGTTGTATTCTTGTTTATTTATTGTATCTTTGTACTACTATCTTGCTTGCTTTCTATATCTTTAGTAAAGTAGCTTTTATCTTATCCCATTGGACTAAAAAAGACTAATAGTGTCATAATTTTGCACAATTTGTGATCTGTAGAGTAAAGTAATCAGTCCGGATAATCGATCATACTTTTTAATTTAGACTGATGCAACAATATATTTTGTCTTTTTACTTGTGTATTGTATTGTGTATCTGTTTTTGTTACCTGCCTAGGTAGCCTACTACGGATGTAAATTAGCACGTTTGCTCAAACACATTTATACTTCTTGTATTTTATACTGATGTTCATTAACATGCTCTGTCCCTATCAAATAAAAAAATAAAAAAAACGTAATTACCTCCGCAGACGGTGTTCATCATGCCATTCTCCATACAATACATGTGGGATTTCTATTGCATCCACTTCATTTGCAACGAAAAACGCCAACGCAATTTCCGCCATTGCAAACCCAGCCAGTCAAGCCGACTCCGACTCCGAGCTGTCCGACTTAAGACGAGCTTTTTGACACCTCCCCCGGCTGCGATCGGCTACTCTCGTCTACTTTCGAGGCGAGTCGCAATGTGTCTCAAACAAGCCTAATGGGTCCTCAATGTACACGCCCCGGATTCCTATGACGAAAATAATAGAATGTCGCCAGTTGTCATGACTCACGTTATACTGCAACACCGGCATTACTTTGCGCTGTGGACGGTTAACTTTGCTGAACAACGGAAACTGCCTTCAGTAGAAGTTTCTGGATCACGTCCTCCGAGTAAATCGCCAGAAGTGCCGACACATCCTCATCACTCCACCGCTCCGATGATTTATTTAGTGTTGCCATAATAACTGCTTTCCCCACGCAGCAGCTGATCTCTCTCTCCCGTCAGATTAGACTTCACTCGCGTTTATGTCCATATCGATCAGATCCAGCTAATGATATGACTACCTTCTTATTAAAAGACACCTAAACAATAAGTGTCACTATGCAACTGGGTGAGGCCACAACGTATAGCGCAGCATTATGCATTTGTTTACATGCCCACCGGAACCCAGAGGCATTACCAACAGATCAACGCACAATCAACCCACACAGGACATCTATTTCTCCACATTAAGTGTTAGACATTATAATTGACTATTCTTGTCTGTCACATACTCTTCTTGTCTGTCACATAAGTGGCGCAAATGAAGCGGTATTGGGCTAAAGGGAAATTATTTTGACCGGACATTTTGACCGAAGAGATTTAGATTTGCCGGCTAAAGGGAACTCATTTTGTGTGCTTCGCGGATGCGCTCGGCTCCTCTTGACTGCTGCTCGGTCAGCTTCCGTTCGACCAACTTACAGTAGATAACATTACAATATTTTTAACGGGGGCCATAATAGTGTAAATAATGTTTGTTTTGGCAGTTATAACTGAATGTAATGTTTTCTACTTTGTTTACATCAAATGGACAGTGTCCTGACCAACAACTTAAGTAGGCTATTTCTTATAGCTATGCAGAGCATGCAAGTGAGCAAACACAAACAAGAACAAACAAGTGAAATGAATAATTAAATTGAAATTGTACAATATAATATTGTGGTGGTTCATCTTATAATTCAGTCTAGAGAATGCACCAGACAGCATCTAAGACCTGCACAAATCTAGATTTTCTAGGGGGAGGCCCCCCAAACCCTTCGTGCGTCATTTCGTCCTTGCGCTTTTACTCACTACAGATTGTACTTAGCGGGTTTGTGACTTTGCAGACCGTTTACATGTACTTTGGTCTGGTGGGTCCAAATTACCCAGCAAAATATAAATCATATTCTGTATTTTTTAACACTTTTTTTATTACGAGATGATTCCATATGTGTTCTTTTATAGTTTTGATGTCTTCAGTATACATCTACAACGTAAAACCAATTGAAATACATAAAAAACTTTGAATGAGAAGATGTGTCCAAACTTTTGACTACGTCTAATACTAGTGTATATATCTCTCAATATGTATTCTGTGTATATATATATAATTTGCTCACATTGGGTTCAACGCGTCATAGAGAGACCAAGTCATTTAATTGGACGAGAGGCATACTATGAGAGCTGGTCACAGGAATGCGTTCAAATTTAGTCAGTAATTTGAAAAGGCATCACCCGAACGTGAATATCACCGGTACCAAAATAAAAAAGAGTGAAGTGCAAACCCAACTCCCACTAGCATTTAAGCTTCCAACACTCGCAAAAAGTGCAGAGCGAGCCAAAGCTATTACAAACGCCAAATATCCTTATGTTGCCATGTTAGCAAAGTGCTACCTGGCTGTATTGGCTACCTCTGTCCCTAGCAAGAGGGTGTTCTCCACAGCAGGAGACATTGTTAGTGCCAGCAGATCTGCCCTTTCGGCAAGCAATGTGGACAAGTTAATTGTACATCAAAAAAACATGAATGTAGTTCCAGTAACCCAAAATTCGATTCACAGGTAGCAAATAAGTTTGACTCGGAAAAGATATGTCTCAAGATAGTTTGTTTGACTCTTTACTTAAACAAAAAGGTATTAAATACAAACATATATTTGCTAAGGTCAAAAAAATGATGTTGCTCTGTGCTTCTTTCTCCTTCTCACACTGGCCAAAGCAACAGCATGGTCTTCTGAATCCACAGACTTTAAACAGTCATCCACATAAAAGTTTCTGAGAACCGTTTCCACCACCTCTGGTGCTGTTCTTCTTGGCGCATATGATGCACAGCTGGGAGATGATATAGCGCCGAACAGGTGCACTCTCATTCGGTAGTCTTCCATCGGTGTGTTCAGGTCACCATCCTGCCACCATAGGAAACGCAGAAGATCAGCATCTTGGTCTTTCTTTGGGTGGTAGAGACCAGGATGAGGTATGTACCACACACATCCATCTTCTCGGCTTAACTGTTTTATGGGGATTTTGACAGCGTAGCCTTTTCCAATTATCCCCGTCATGAAGTCCTTGTAATCTTTGTACAGGTCCGGGGTTTTGCTGAGCTTTCTTTGGAGACTTGCGGCACGCTGCTCTGCCATGCAGCGGTTGTTTGGCATTTTGGCAGAAGATAGTGGGGGGTGGAGTTAGGTAAAAAAGAATTCCGTGCAGACTAGATAAAAAGCCAGTCATTTCCACTCATCAAGTCACCTTTCAAAAAAGAAAAATGGCCAAGAGACGCATCAATATGGGTTTAATCAGAGAGACGCCTGTGACAACTTACCGCCATCCGTCGGGAGTGCCAATCAAGAAACGGATGCAGTATCTGTGCCGGGTTCAGACACGGTCCTCCGTCTGAGGCTCTTTGCCTTTGATGTCAATCTAATTAGCCTTGATCTATAATCGAATTAACCTCTGCAGTCCGTCCTTTGACCAGTGTTTGTAATTAGTGTTGATTAAGGCAATCTCGTATGTAAGTGTGATATGTTTAAGACCCATAACTAACCTTTGATGTTATTGTCCTGTCTCAATTCCATTTAAATTTAGGTTTTTAAAATGATTTATGTTAGATAAGGATGTTTCTTTTTAAGCTGTGTGAGACTGTTAACTAATGTGTAATTAGTTTACTAACTACAAGGAAGTCTCTTTTTATGAAGAGGGTATTCATATTAATTAAAAAATATCTTATTTAGGTTTTAATATGATTGGTGTTAACTAAGGATGTTCTCTTTAGTTGTAGGGCTTATTAATTAAATATACATAATATGTATTAACTACAAGGGAGTCTCTTTGAAGAGGGTAATAATAATTTAAAAGACCTTAATGCCCCCTTGATCTTGTCTTTTTTATTGTTTAATTACATCACACAACTATAAGGAAGCCCAATATGAAGTTATGTGAGGTTGTATTGGGGTAATATTAGAAGAGAGAAGTTTTTAAAATATGTTTCTGCTGTATTCAGTGGGGTTGATCAGAGCAGACATCAAATGCATAGAATTAAGAGTGTGGGGGAAATGAAATGAATCATTTCTAGGCATACAAGGCTTCGTATTTGTATTTATTTATAGAAGGACCACGCATACAAAAACATTAATCTCAGCAAAGAGAAGAGATGCAATATGCCAGATTATAGCTAATAGCTCATTTCCATCTGTGGTCCTTCAGTCTATTGAAGATCAATGTATGGGCAGAGTTTCACTCTGTGTGGAAACAAAAGAAGCATCCTATTGACTCGTTAATCACATGGACATGGACAAATGACTCTTTAAAGCAGAGATACCACATACTGACATACACCTGAACATCAGCAGGAGAGGACTCTTTAAAGTAAATACACCATAAGGTTAAAATAAGATATATATGTTTAGTTGTTTATGATGAACAGGGTTCAAGGACTTTTGGTGCTTCAAGTTAAGCTCCATATTTTTTCTAGCTATTTCATTATATATAATATTTTCTTATGAAGATATAGGAACAATTCTAGAGACTTTTGAGTGTGTATCTACTATCTACATGTTTGTAATGTGTTATTACGACCCTGGTCGTTATGTGTATTGTGTGTAGAGACTTTTCCCTCCTCCTGTGTCTGTGTGTGTGTGTGTGTGTGTGTGTGTGTGTGTGTGTGTGTGTGTGTGTGTGTGTGTGTGTGTGTGTGAGAGCAAGCAGGTGGTGCCCGTTAGCTGATTAGCTACCTTCAACAGGCTGATTGGTCCACCTGAAGAAGAGGGGAGCATTTAAGCTGCAGCCATGCAGTCACTCTGCCACTCTCTCCGACTCAGCTTCTCCTGCTCCCAACTGTTGCGTATTTGTATCTGTCCTTTTGTACTTCTGTCCTGGTATATTTTGTAAACCTTGGCAGGATAGACATAACTTTAACCTGTCCTTGTTGGACACGCCTCAAGTCTACGTGAAAGTGTAAAACCCTTTTTCTTTTGGTTGCTTCTCGTGTTCTCCTGTTTTTACGTCAGTGTAGGAAAGAGTCCTGTATGTTTATTTTCTTATTTGTTAGGCAAGATATTTGTGTTCAGAAATGTGTTTGTTTTTGTGGGTTCTTTCTTTCAGTCTTTATTTCGAACAGATTAAAAAATAACAAATAACAAATGTGAAAAACAGAATACCGTATTGTTATAATACAGTATTTATCCACATTCATGGTAATATTTGTATATTCAACAAAAAAACAAAAAATGTCTTCATATTAATAATAAATCATATGTGTCCGAAAGGGAGTAGGAGGAAGCAAATGCTTATTAATTCCCACCCCTTACTTGATCAATGATTGTCCTTTAAATCATTATGCAAGTTATTCCTACATACATTTACATTTATACATACATATACAATCATTTCTCATCTTCAATCACCTTCTTCATTCTCATAGTTTTCCCAAAAAGTGTTTCTGTACATCTTTTTAAACTGAATTATGCTTGTGCTTTGTTGTTGCACTTAAAAAGAAAACTTTGGTAATTAAATTTACCAAAAGGTCTGTAAAACTGTCTCATTGTCTATGTTCTTGGGAGTGGGAAAAGAGGAGAGAGGGC